TTTTTTGAATGCTCAAGGCATTTCACCTGTGGACTTTCCAGAGCCAGAGATAACATGTGTTTATTATGAGACTATATTGAGAAAGTCAGATCTTCAGCAGAAAATGACTGAATAATTGTCACCAGAGAGCCCTTCTCCACCACACACTTGCTCCTGTTTATTTCTCCAATGAAACAAAGAGAATTTTGCAACAGTTTCTATGGGAAATCATTTGGGATCTACCTTACCATTCAGATTTGGCTCCTCTGAATTTTGTTCTAGCAAAATAAACTTTACAGCACATTTTATTCATATATGTAAAAAAAAAAAAAAGGCTTCATTGATATGCTTAAATTCCCAGGATGTTCAATTCTTTAGAAAAGGACTAAATGATACCATCATTTACAAAGTATCTTGAATGTGATGGAACTTCCACTGAGGAAAAAATATGTATTTCTCTTTTAATTCCATTTTACTGTGAAGTCCCCTCTGACAATCCTAGCAGCTGACGTATTTAATAGAGATAGGGGTTGAGGTGGATGGAAGTGATGAAATTTTAGTCAAAATAATAAAAATTAAAGCAGAAGTAAAAAGTTTGATAGGGTCAAAGAGATGAGAAGAAGGGCTTAGGCCACAATAGCAGCCCTACTTCAAAGTGCACAAGGGACAGAGAAAAGAATGCAGTGACTTAAAGAGAGAAAGGGAAGAAGTGAAGACTGTAAAGAATAAATGCAGGGGGTGTGGCTCAGGCCTTTAAGAAGGTCTTAGGGAAACAAGGAATGAGCTGTACGGCAGCTTAACTGAGTGGCAGGTAGGGTGCTACTGCTTGTGCTTGTGAGGGGTCCATTTGTTAAAACAGTATACAGAGGTCTTGAAAGGGAAAATGCATATTGTGAAAAGAACATGCATGGATTTAAAAGTGTTTTTGAACCACAACAAACTCATCTTTTAAAAAATGTTTATTTGCTTATTTTTCATCTGCTTGACAGGCAGTGTGTGTGTGTGTGTGTGTGTGTGTATGTGTGTGAGAGAGAGAGAGAGAAAAAAAAAAGAGACAGAGGGAGAGAGAAAATCTCCATCTATCTGTTCACAGGCAGGCTTGGGCCAGGCTGAAATAGAAGTTTTAACACCAACCAGGTTTCCCATATGGATTACAGGGTTACCCTGGTGTTGCCCAGGATGCATTAGCAGGAAGCTGGATCAGTAGTGGAGCAGGTGGGACTCCAACTGACACTCTAACATGGAATGGAAGCAGCCCGAGCAGCAGGCTTAACCCACTGCCCTACAATGCCCACCCCACAACTTATCTTCTAATTCCATTTCCCAGGAAATTTTTGAAGTACCCTTGTGTATACTTTCTGTTTTGCATTTCCTTCCAGTATTCTGCAAAACTGTCTTCTCTATGGGGAGGCTGAAGTTTGTCATAGCAGATTACAAAGAGGTAGTGGAGGGTGGGTTGGGAGGGTGGGGGACTTTTGAACTAGCAGTGAGGTAGAGAAGAACATGAAACTGAAGAAAGTTTTAGATTAGTTCAAAAATCCAAAATATACTTTTTCCATCAAGACAAAACTATTTTAACCAGATTTGTTATGACTAAGGAAATTTTGGCTTCTATTATTTACCACTGATGTATCAAGGCCTGGTGGACTTGAGATGGCATTTAGCAGCCCCAGCAGATAGGAAGAATGGTCTTAACAGAGATCCTTTGTAAAATCCTGAGTCCTTTTGTCACCTGGAGGGGACAGAAAAATTTCTGCATGAACCTGAGGAGGGATTCAGAGGGTACTGTGATCAGGTGGTGTCACTGGTTGGGCGCTAGATCTGATCATGTAACTGAAGGCTGTGGTGGACTTCCTGGAGCAGGGATTGAACGCATGATATAAACAGATCTTGGAGGTTCTGCTCAGCTGCAGGATCCAGCCTGGGAGGCTGAAAGAGAACAGTGCACAGGTGTTCAGATTCCCAGACAGTCACCAAACAAATGAGGATGGCAGTGAAAACACCTGGTGGCTTCCTGAGTGCCACGTGGAAGGGTGCGGGAAGGGCCAAGGCGACAGAGAAAATTTCTTCTCATGATCTTTGTTTGGAGCACCAGAGGTGATATTTGAATGGATGTGTACTAATTTTATTGAAATCAAACTTCTAGATTTTATAGGAATTTTCTTCAAAGATAAATATCTGAAAATTCAGAGAGCATCATATGTAAGATCCAGTCAGTGCGGCAGGGAAAAAGGAGTTAAAGAAATCCAGGGTATTTCATAAAGTTTATTTGCAACATGCAGACCAAGAGAAGGCATTGGCTATTTAAAACAGCACATATATTTGTCTCTTTAAAACCAGGAGAAGCTGCAGTATGCGGATTACTCCCTGGCCCTTGTCTACCCCATACACATACCTAAGCATTGTCCTCATGGAAGGTGGATGTGATCAAATATAAGTGAAGAAAGAGCTATTAAACAAGGCCACTCAGAATGTTTCCTGTGCCAATGAATATTCTAGAACTCTGATTCTTCTGAAAAAAGAAAAAAAAAAGAAATACTTGCACAAGAGCTGCAAGAGGAAGAAGTAAAGGGGAGAACCATACAGCTTGAAGATGGAATGAGTTGCAGCTCAAATAGACATCCTGACTGGTAAAAATTTCAAACAACGATAAAACCTAGCAGAAACAGAGAAGGACTGATTTAAATGTCATGCTCAACTCACTTTTATTTGCTAATGAAAAGAATAAGTATCATCAGAGAAGGAGAGTACATTCATTCTAACATTGGGTCTAACAGGGTTCTCCTTTGAGAGCTCAAGGGCTCTGGGGCTTTGACTGAACCATCTACTAGAACTGCCAGGAAATAAAAAGAGGAAAGATAAGGCACAACTACAGCAACTGTGTAAGTGAAACACTAGACCCAGCCCCAGGTAGAAGTGGGCACCTTGCTGCTCGTGGTCTCTAGGGCTGCTGGAATTCAACAGTCATCAGCCTTTTCCTATTCACTGGACTGGATGTAGAACAGATGCGGTAGGTTAGCTGACCACCCAGTCTGACTCTCATGGAAGTTAATGCTCACCTAGGCAGGAACTTTCCATGAGGGCAACTGGAGTGCTGCATGTTATTTCCTCTAAGTAAATGATGTGGCCCATGTTTTTATAGAGGAGGGTATTAGCTGGATACCTAGTGTGGCAGGTGTTTATTTTGTGTCAAACTAGGATACTTTGTTATGTGAAGTGGCCCTGCAATATAATACAAATGGCCTCTGTTCAACTTTTAAACCAAATATTTGCAATTTAAAATGATTAGTAGTTAGGAGAGTAGCACCTGGTACTCTTGCAGATGCATCACAAGAAAATTTATAGTCAAGGCTTCATTGACATTAATTGAACTTTGTTAGCTTAGTTGCAAATGGTAGCCTGCCCTCACTCTACAGAGTGAGGCCAACAGAGGATAGATTACCTGCTCTGGACTGGTGACTTAGTGTCATAAGGAGAATTAAACAAGGAGACACTGATCTGACCATGGGATCTGACCTTTAAGGGATTGCAGAAGCTACCTTGCAAAATGCCAACTTGATTGATAGCAGGAGAAATCTGACTTTTAAGGACATGATGTTACTCTCATAAATAATATTTATCAGGTTGTTTATTCATGGATTGCAGGTTTTTTATAGGGTCACAATTGTGAATGAAGCCATTGGAGCTGATCATGTTGTGGCAATTAGTATTATATTACTGCATAGGATGATAGACTATATATAAGCAATTTTGTCAACTGAAAAGGATACCAAAGCTGAAATGGGAGCAAGTAGCTTCTACAAATTAGATTTGGTAAACCTCTACTATCGGCATTCTGTTATACAAGCATTCTTCAAAAACGTGATGGAAATGAAATTAAAATATATGTTTATCTTGGTGAAAAAATACCAAATCCATAGCTTTCTCATAACGTACATTTTGAAGACCCTTTGAATTGGGGAAGCCTGAGGACGCAGGGAAGGTCATAAACCAGAGCTTCCTATAAAGAAAATGCATTTCTCATTTGTAATAGGAATAACTGAATATATTATGAGCTGAGAAATTGAGAGGGAAGCTTGCATGTGGATATTCTATATTTTGAATATTTAAACCATTCATTCGAGTATTCCATGAAAGCCTTCATATTACATCCAAGGCCTTTACTTTCTTCTCTCATCCACCTATGGAGAAAACCTGCATGTATTATCAACTCAATGATAATTTCATTTTACTGTAACTCATAAAGAAATTTATTGGCAAAACATCTCGCAGGAGTGTTTTGTTAGAAAAATGAAGGCCATCTGTGCTGGAGTCTCTAGGTAGTGCTTCTATCTTCTCTTTTGTTCTGTAGAATTGCACTGCTTTGTACTCTCTAAGTTTCAGAAAAAGCAATTTTGTAAACGGTGCACTGAAATGCTCTGATGAAGTTATAACTGATAAAGGCACGGAGACGAAGATGCTGCAGTGAAAAATGGGGCACATCAAAGAAAACTGATTCGTAATCATAAAATGCGAACAAGGTAGAATAAAGTGGTGTGTGTGTTGCAGGCTGTCAGTTGCCCACATCCAGGTTTATCCACAGCCTGAGGGAATGATATCTTGTCAGAAGTGCTTGTGGATGCTAATCTATCAACACTTGTTCAATGTCAAATTGTATCAGAGTGTTCAGTCTCCTTTTGGACTTTAACAGTCGCTTCTTAGCTCTATTATACTTCCTTTGGTCAAATGAACTTTCAGTTGGGCTTTTTTCTCATGTTTCTTTCCCCCTTGGAACTGGGCATCTGAACTGGATCTTAATGCCACATACTCTGTTTGCTTTTAACAGCAACCTGATAGAGATCTTTAATATAAATTTCCTATTACCTCCCGAACCATATGTTCCAGCACACTTATTCACTCACTTCTGTATCCATTTATTTAATCATCCTTCTGAGTGGATCAATGATTTTCTTTTCAATCATGGAAAACAATTCCTTTACCCTTTCTTAATGTGGATTCTTTTTTTTTTTTTTTTTTCAAAGAGAGAAAGAGAAAGAGAAGAGAGAGAGAGAGAGCAAGCGAGCTGCTGGATCACCTCCCAAATGTATACAACATCCAGGGCTGGGTCAATTCAAACCCAGAAGCCAGAACTCAATCCAAGTTTCCTACATGGATGGTAGGAACCCAATTTCTCAGCCTGTCACTGCTGCTTCCAGAGTGCATTAGCAGGAAGCTGGAGTCAGGAGTCAGATTCCGGTGTGGAATCAGGGTACTGAAGTGTGGGATGTGGGCATCCTAGCACCTACACTAAAAGGCTGCTCCCCTATAGTAGACTCTTTCATGTGCTGCTCTTCTGACAGAAGTGCCTGTCTTTTCCCCCTCCCCTCCATCCATTTTCTTTTTTTTTTTATTTTTTTTATTTTTTTTTTATTTTTTTTATTTTTTGATAGGCAGAGTGGACAGTGAGAGAGAGAGACAGGTCTTCCCTTGCCGTTGGTTCACCCTCCAATGGCCGCCGCTGCAGCCGGCGCAGCGCGCTGATCCGATGGCAGGAGCCAGGATCCAGGTGCTTTTTCCTGGTCTCCCATGGGGTGCAGGGCCCGAGCACCTGGGCCATCCTCCACTGCACTCCCTGGCCATAGCAGAGAGCTGGCCTGGAAGAGGGGCAACCGGGACAGAATCCGGCGCCCCGACCGGGACTAGAACCCGGCGTGCCGGCGCCGCAAGGTGGAGGATTAGCCTATTGAGCCACGGCGCCGGCCATTTTCTTTTTCCTTTCTCTAAAATTCATGATCTCGCCAGCCTTTGTAATGGATTACCACAAGGCTTTCTTATTAGACAATATTTTTATATGAAATAGCTTGTAAATTCTCCCATAATAAAACATTTAGGAGTTCTGCATGGACAGATTTTTTAAATTTCTCCTTAAAATGCTTAGATGAATTCACAAAACATAATCTCCAGGGAGAAAGTGGATAAAAAGCCATATCTGATACTGGAGCAGCTACTGCTAATACTGTATGTGTATGTGTAAGCAGGTGGCTGCCAATAGTCCTTACCAGCTGTGGAGTTAGATTGTAACACTGTGGAGGGACAGGCAAGGTGGAGGGCCTGTAAGAGTCAGGATTTGAAACTGAGAGACATGAATGAAGTTCGGACTGTAGAAGAGTAACACTTTGAGGCAGAGAAACTGGAAAATAAATCTGCTTGCCTACACAAGGAGACCATGTGGAAGCTTTGCTATCCAAGGTTCCCCTGGACAATTTTATAATCATATGCTTGTCATCTTACAGTTTGTTGTTCAAATATACTACCCTGTATGTTTCATGAACCCACTAGCAGAGAATCATCATGTGAAGTGGCCACAGATAAGTGAGATCCATGAACACCTGGGAAAGGCAAACATACATCTCAGGCCAAAGAATTTTCAGACATTCTGAAGACAAACTCACAATCTAAAATGACAAAATAGTCAAGAAAATAATTCATCCTGAACATGACTCAGCAAAAAAAATGAACAACTATCAAGATCACAATCCTAACAAATTTAGATGTCACATTTATCTGTCAGATTTTAAGAGTGTACATTAAAATTATTATAATAAGAAATATAGTGCCAAATAGACCAAGTAAAACCTCTAGAAATTAAAATATAAACACAAAAATGTGAATTAGTGAACTGGAATGTAAATCTGCAGAAAACTAATTGTAATGTGACTTAGATAAAAATTATGGATGATTTGAACTAGAGATAAAAAGAAATAAAGACTATTCTAACATTATCTAACATATTGTGTTTAATATGAGTTCCAAAAGGAAGAAATAGAGTGCAGAATTTCCCTTCAAAGAAGATATCATATACATACTTTCTTTGCTCTACTGCACATCAGTCTACCTATCCCTTCCATGTATTCAGTCAATAAAAATTAATTCAACTATACACTTTATCTTTTTCATGTGTTATTTTCTATATACACAGAGATAAAAATCTGGTTTCATATTTACACTTCCAAAAAGTTGATTAATGTTGTGCAACCACTGTTTGCATGATCAGAAACTCTTAAAGGGAGGAAATTAAAATTTGTTTAGGGTCTCCATCAGTTCTCATCCTCAATTCTGCAATGTAAGTACTAAATAGTAAGGTAGCTATGCTAAAGAAAAAGGGGGGATTCAAAAGAAAAGGGCATGACTCTGTATATAAGATGAGAAGGAAGAAAATATGGGTAGATGTTATAATTCTTCCATCTACAATGACATGATCCAGTGTGGGGAGCAACCCGGACTGGACTGAGTTACTGGAGTTAAGACTTATTCTATGCATCTGCTCTCCCACAATATGGCGCTGGGAGAGGAGAAAACAGCTTCTACCCAGCTGCCTCTCACCAACTTGACAAGCTGCAGGAGCCGCTCCTGATTGGAGGAGAGCAGCGTGCTCGGCGTGTGGGTAGCAGAGCACGGATTGGTGAAGAGGACTATAAAGGAGGAGAGAGACAACATGCACCAGGAACATCTAAGGGGAACATCTGAAGGAACACCTGTGCAGCCCCCGAGAGAGCCGGCCGGCGGTGTGCCGCTCCCCCGCGGAAGTGGGGAATGTGGCAGGGGGAACCGCCCTTCCACGGAGGTGGAAGGGTCGGTAGCCAACCCGGGAAGAACCAGCAGCAAACCCGGGAAGGGCCGAGCAGACAAAAGAACAGCGCAGGGTCCTGTGTCGTTCCTCCACGAAGACGGGGAGCGACAATCCAGCACTTTAGGCTTGTGGAATTCTTACTGAAATCTTCATTTCTGAGGAGTCTGAACTCTCAGTGCCAGTATATTTTGGATTTCAGACTCTTCCATTAATCTTACCTCTTGACTAAAAATGACTCTTTAGGGTCAACTGGATTCTTGCCAACAGTCCTTCTTGCTCACATTTTGTAGCATTTATCCTGCTTTTCATTGAGAGCTAGGATCACACACTATTTCTTTGTTGTTTTATCCAGTGTCCTAACTGCACAGAAGACAACTGCCACTTCTAATTCAGTGGGATTATTGTTAAATCTTTTGATGGCAACATTTCTGTGTTGGATATGGAAAACTCTACATCATCAGAGTAAAAAGTTTCTGAATGAGTCATTGGGTGGAACTGTAAGAAGAGCCAAGCTCATTCATCCCTTAGCGCTGGAATTCATGTCTTCATGCTGTAAACTGATTCCTCTTCAGAGAATTTACAAAATCCTCTAGACTGGCATTTCAAGCTTGTAAAAATGTTGTGTACTGGCTGACATAATAATGAATCTTTAATAGGTAATTCCAGCTACATCTGGGTGATGAGAAAACAGATATGACTACTGAATTTTTATGCCACTGCCTTACTCCTTTTTATGGCTAAAAGGACTTGGCCGGAATCGAGAATATGTGACAATCCATGAGGATAAAAAAAAAAAAGCCATCTCATAGGTTTATGTTTAGTGTTACTTGAGAAGACTGTCAGAAATGGAAGGCACACCCAAATGCAAAATAAATAAATAATAATAAATAAATAAATAAAAGTATGCTGCAAGGATATAACAGAATTCAGTGGATTCCTAGCATAATTATTTTACCATATTGCCAGGGAGGTGAGAGGCTCAAGATCAGTTACTTCACTGGTAAACTTGGCACCTGACTCTGACAGTAGCCAAGTCAAACATAGGGAAAGTATATCTTTGTTAATGAGCGCATGCATAACCTCTGGCTTTGACAATATGGATCATTTCAGAAATCCACTAAACAGGGATAGGCTGGCTGGAGAAAGGGCTAACTGATACCACAGGTTAGTTAAGCCTCACCCGCCTACTAAGAACCTTCTGTATAGTGGATCATCAAGTAAGACACATATATTCTCCTTGTTATCAATGTTTTGACTCTGTATTTTCTAAGGGCTTGACAATCTACTAGATCTTATCAGTCAGAATATTTTCCTGCATAATGTAGACAAAGACATGTACTTGAAGTTCTGCCTGTTTGGAAGAGTTCTCTCCTCCACTTCTCTTCAGAACCACACCTGAGTAGGCTCTATGATCATGGTGGTCTACCTGTGCCTCTTGTCAGTCACAGATTCCTCTTTCATATCACCTAGTCATCCAGGAATTACCACCTGGCAGTGTGCACCCATGAAGTGAGCTGAGGGGGAAATGGCAGCATGGGAGATGCAGCCCTGTTGGAAGAGAACAAAAGTTTTATTCATGCTTTTTTTTTGAGGATCTTCCTAATGCAAATCTGTAATGTAGAGACTTCTCCTTGATTGTGAGGTCCATCACTTGGAGCCAGTTTAGGGCTAGATGGATTGGATAACTCCAAGTTAATGATGGTCAGCTGAGATTACTGATCACCAGACATACTTGGTTAGCAGGACCCAGCTGCAAGCAAACTACTGTTTTTCATATGAATGATAGTTATATTCCCAACAGGTTGTAATCTTCCACATTCCTATGAGACTCTGGCCTGATTCTTTTATTGGGATTTGATACAGGCTTCACACGTTATCTTAATATGCCCTAGGAGTTTAATCTGCTGGACCATTAAATTGGCTGATTCATAGGGACAATAGCGCAGGACTGTCTCTGGTGCAGCTTAGGTAAAATGAAAACCCTTGTTCTGGGCTTTATTCAAATTTGGTGTTGTTTCAAGTCATCAGGTAAACAATTTATCTTGTAAAGATAGTGTATCTGAATATAACTTCCAGAATGCAATGATTCCTCCCAGAGTTGTATATGTAGGATATTGCAACTTCTATTTAGTTTGGGAGGAAAGATGCTGACTTGAGCCAGGATACTACTGGTCTGCCAAAAACTTCACTGACCTATCAGAGCGTTCTAATTTTGTGAAGCATATCTTCCATTTTTTTAATGAGCGTTTTTCTAACTTGGGCCTCTGGTTAACAGCTGTTCTTTCCTCTTCAGGCTATATTATTACCATCAATATGATGAACCAGTGAGATATCTGTGGAATGAGAAATAGTCAAGATCTCTGAGAACTAAATTGTGAAACAGAGCTGAGGAGTTGGTGTATCTTGCAATAGGATAACAAAGATGTAGTACTCTCTTCCATGGGAAGATAGTGGTTTCTTGTGCTTTCCATTTGTTGAGATTGAAAAAAGAAAACATTGGATCAATGACTGTTGCCAGGTGCAGTGGCTGCACCATTAAAAAGATTACATCTGAAATAGTAGCTTTTACTGGAATCATCCACTAACTAGTTCAAGTTATGAAAATTGACTATTATTTTCTGAGACTCATTAATCTTTTGTATTAACTAGAGAATTATACTGGGCATGTTAGAATTACACATTGCATTTTCTTGCCTTCAATGGTAGAAAGAAGCTCTGTGCTTCTCCTAGAGGTATAGAATTATTCCTGGCTTACTGCGATGCACAGAAAGA